AAAAAACGGTCCTGCCGTTTCCGGGGCCCAAATATGGCAGTAGCTGGTGTCAATTTAGATGATGGGCCGGTCCTCTACTCGGATTGTGCCATTGTTGTCTCGGCTTGTTCCCGTGGCCCCGTGGACCCGTCCTCGGGAAAGAGGGCCTACGCTGGCCAGGTTCCAGGAGTGTTTCTCGGGCGGCCCTGGGGAAGTTTCGTCGGTGGTGAAAGCCGCGGCTCACAAAGAGCTGGACGAAGTGGGCATCAGTGATCAGGAGCGCGTTCGTAGACAAAAGGCAATTACGTTGCAGATGTTTGTTGGCCAAGTCGGGGACCGCGGTCCACCCCCAACCCGAGCCTGGTGTCCGGGGTCGCATCCACTTTTGCATCAGCACCAGCAGAGTGGTGCCAAAACTTGCGGCCAAGCTCCTCCAAGACTGGCCCAAGTGTGACCTAACATCGACTCTCTCCCCGGGCTGAGTCGGCTGCAGCGGCCCACGACCGGGCCGGGGCAGGTTCTTGGTGGCCATGCCTCGTCTGCCATCGAGGGAGGGGTGAGCGTCGCACTCCCCGGGCCGCTGCTCTGCGCCCCCTCGGCTCAGCACCAGCAGGATCTGCCCGCAGGCAGCACCGCTGTGGAGCAGCGGCCTGCTCTCGGACGGGCCCGTCTGGCGCACCTGCCTCGACGGACAACCTCTGCCAAGACGGGCGGCAGAGCCGGGAAGCCGAGGGAGCCCTGCCAGGGCAAAGAGAGCTGCCAGGTGCGGGGCGCACGGCTGGGTCCGTCTGCACCACGGGCAAACACCTCGGCAGGTTGAGAGGGAGAGAAGCTGTAGGTTCCTTCCCTCGCCCTGGTCCGCTTGATCTGAACTGGCAGGTGAGCGCTGCGGTGACAACAATCCTCCTCCTGCTCCTGCGCCTGCTCCTGCACCTGCTCCTCCTCCGCCTCCCACTCCTCGCACGTAGCTCAGATCAGGTGTTGGCTGCTGCTCACTGTACTGCTGTAGCGTTTGTGCTCTTGCAGCCGCCTCCTCCTCCTCCTCCTCCTCCTCCTCCTCCTCCCTACCTCCTGCTCCTCCCTCCTCTCTTCTCCTCCTCCTCCTCCTCCTCCTCCTCCTCTTCCTCCTTCGCCTCTTCCTCCTCTTCCTCCTCTCTCCTCCTCCTTCTCCTCCTCATCACCATCACCATCATCATCATCATCATCATCATCATCATCATCATCATCATCATCATCATCATCATCATCATCATCATCATCATCATCGCCATCATCATCAACATCATCATCCGCATCATCTTCATCATCACATCATAATATTATCATCATCATGCATCACATCATATGGCTACAGGGCGGATCTACTCATGTTGCCCCCAGCGCGACGGCTCATCATCATCATCATCATCATCATCATCATCATCATCATCATCATCATCATCATCATCATCATCATCATCATCATCATCATCATCATCATCATCATCATCATCATCATCATCATCATCATCATCATCCGCACTTTTTCCCGCCCCACACCCCCCTCGTGGCGTGGAGAGTGGCCGGCGGCGATCGCAAAAGCCCCCCACCCCCGAGGGCAGCGCCGGCGCTCGCCCAGGGAGACGGCCCTGGGCCGGTCCCCCCTCGCCAGCTGCACCAACACCTGCAGGGCGAGGACCCTGGTGTCCAACGGGTTGTCCTGGCGAGGGAGGGGAGGAGGAGGATGAGGAGGAGGAGGAGGAGGAGGAGGAGGAGGAAGAAGAGGAGGAGCAGGAGAAACAGGAGGAGGAGAAGGACCAGTGCGAACCCAAGAGGGGAGGCAAATTTGGCGGTTACGAGGGGAAACGTCAAAGGAGGACCGGCTCAGGGGGGAAAGCATCGACCTGGAGCCGGCGATACGTCGCCGAAAGATCGGCGATGGGCCCCCGATAATGAAACCGCCTGGTCCTGAGAGGGGCGGACCGTCGGCCCAGGATCGACCCCCGACAGCGACTCCGCACGTTCTTGGGCGGAGTGGGCCCCCATCGGCCTCCTCCTCCCCCTCCCCCTCCCCCTCCCCTCCTCCTCCTCCTCCTCCTCCTCCTCCTCCTCTCCTCCTCCTCCTCCTCCTCCATCCCCACCTCCTCCTCCTCCTCCCCCCTCCTTTCCTCCTCCTCCTCCTCCCTCCTCTTCCTCCTACTCTTCCTCTCCTCATCATTCCCTCCTCCTACTCCCCTCCTCCTCCTCCCTCCTCCTCTTCTCTCCTCCTCCTCCTCCTTCCTCCTCCTCCTCTCCTCCTCCTCCTCCTCCACCTCCTCCTCCTCCTCCTCCTCCTCCTCCTCCTCCTCCTCCTCCTCCTCTCCTCCTCCTCCTCCTCCTCCTCCGCCTCCTCCCCCCCCTCCTCCTCCTCCTCCTCCTCCTCCTCCTCTCCCTCCTCCTCCTCTCTCCTCCTCCTCCTCCTCCTCCCCCCGGGCCCATCCCCGTCCCCGTGGCTTTCGGGCCACAGCTCGGACCTCCGGCCGCCGTCCTGGGCGATCCGGGCGCCCCCAGAGCGCCGTCGGCGAGGGGCGCAGCTGCCAGAGAGCGCCCCGAGGCTGGACAACCGCCGAGCTCCGGCGAGAACACCCGAGAGCCACCCCAGACACCTGATATCTGGATCTTTTCCATGCGGGCCCCCCCCGCAAGTCCCGACTTTCCCCAGGGCCGCCCTTTCGTCACGAGTCGTTGCTTGTGCGGTCCAGAGGCCCTGCGAGGGCCCCGAGAGGCAACAAACACGACGAAGCGCTATGCCCCCCCACCTGACGCTGCCACCTGACCGGGGAAATCAAAAGGTAAATTACCGATGCCGCTACTCCCCGCTCCTCTCCCAGGCTGCGTTCTGACCGAGACTTCGCAGCGAATCCAGCGGTGGCGACGAGGGCCTCCCTGGAGGGGGAAAAAGGAGAAACCAGGGAAGGGTAGCGGTATGGTGATCGTTTTCTTGTTCAGTGTTTTGCCGATCGGCGCGGGCCCTCGCCCCCCCTCCCCCCCGACCCCATGGAGTAGATCTTGGCTGTTCTGGGCGCCCGTTTCAAGCAGGCGGAGGCTCCCCCTTAGGACGCACTGGTGCAAACAGTCGCACTAAGCAGAGATCCCGAGCCAGACCACCTCCACTCCCTCACCCCCCTTCCCGGCCCGCGGCGAGGCTTCGAAGTTCCTGGGCGTCCCTCGGCCCTCGGCCCTCCGCCGCCGGTGCCTCGATCCTCGAAGCTCCTGGCTCCTCGACCCTCGAGGCTCCTCGACCCTCGAGGCTCCTCGACCCTCGAAGCTCCTCCAAGGTCCTGGGCCCTCGAGTGGCCTCGACCCTCGCAGCTCCTCCAAGGCCCGCGATCCTCGAAGGTCCTCGATCCTCGAAGTTGCTCGAAGGTCCTCCTCTGCCTGACCGGTCCCTTCGGCCCCCTCCCCGCCTCGCCCGGAGCCAGGCGGGGGTCCTGGCCCAGCGCGGCCTCCAGGTCGCCGTAGGACTCCTCCAGCACCAGCGGCAGGGGCGCGCCGTCCTGCCCCCCCCCCCACACCACCACCCCGCAGGGCTGCTGGGGACGGGCCTACAGCCATCACTCACTCACCCACTCACTCACTCATTCACTCACTAAGGCACCCGCCGTCCAGCGAGTGGGCAGGAACACAGTCTCAGGCAGCGACGCGAGATGGAGGGCGAAACGCTGCGCCAGCTGAGTGGATCAAGAGGAGGAGGAGGAGGAGGAGGAGGAGGAGGAGGAGGAGGAGGAGGAGGACGGAGAAGGAGGAGGAGGAGGAGGAGGAGGAGGAGGAGGAGGGCCCGCACCCCGGGGAAGAAATCGGCCTCGCCCGGGCGAAGACAGAGAGCCTGGCCACGCCGGGCGAAGCCCTGCGCGGCCCCGAGGCCCACCCCCCCTCCAGGGAGAGGGGAGCCGTTGCCCTTGCTGTACACAGGGGGCCAACCACCCAATCTTGAGACTCGAGCCTCTCCCGGATCAAAGAAACGGGGGGCGAGCCCCAGGAAGGGCGCGTCAACTGGAAAAACAAGATGTGCCCCGGAGGGGGGGAGGGACCAACAATGACTACTCAGGGGGGAGGGGGGGGTCAAGGGGAGGAAAGGGAGGGGAGAGAGGGAAGAGGGAGGCAGGCCCAGACCCCCTCGCGCCGTGAGAGAGCAGCGTGGCGGCGCAGGTGCTTCGCTGCGTTCGGCCTCCAGGGGCCCTCGGCGGCCCTGGGGCCGTGCAAAAACGGCTCGGGGTGAGGAACCAGTCCACGGGAAGGGGTCCACACTTCCGAGGGTCACATCATGCGAAGTCACGGCGTCGGGGGTCCGGGAGCTGGGCGCGCTCGCGCCCTATCTGACGCCCTGAACCCTCCCACCCATCCCCTTCCATGGCGCTGCTGGCTCTCCATCCGCACGCGCGTGTCACAGCAGGCCTGGAACTCCCCGGAAGACCCCGTCGTGTGATGCACAATTGGAAAAAGGGAGCCGCGTACATAGGAGAAGGGGGAGGAGGAGCAGCAGCAGCAGCACCAGTAGCAGCAGGAGGAGGAGGAAAAGGAGGAGGAGGAGGAGGAGGAAGAGGGAGGAAGAGGACAAACAGCAGCAGCGGGATCCGGAGTGGAAGGAGCGGGAATGCCAGGAGGACCAGGGGAATGCAGAGGAGGAGAAAGGAAGGGGGGCGACATCCGATGAGGAAGGACTCGGACCCAGAACAGCTGCCCGCGCGGGGGCGCGAGCGCCACCCTGTACAGCGGACACAGGGCGCCGATCCTAAAACGAGGCCAACGCTGCGAATGCGCTCTGATGGAAAAGCATCAGAGATGCCCAGTAGCGGAATCCCGCAAGTGCCAAAAAGGTGCGCGGAGGGCCAGGCTGCTCCCCGGCCATCTTCGGGGGAGAGAGAGGAGAGTAGTATTCCGAGTGGGTAGTTGTCGAGGGGAAGGGAGAGGAGGGAGGGGAGGGAGGGGAAGGCAGCGAGGGGAGAGGAGGGAGGGGAGGGGAGGGAGGGACGGAGGGGAGGGAGGGAGAGAAGGGGAGGGAGGGAGGGAGGAGCCAGGTTCGAGGTGCCTGGACAGATGTGGCCCTTCGGGGGTTCAGATGCCCTTGCAGGCCTCCTGGGTCCACTGTGGACACCGGCCAAAACCCCCCGCAGATTCGATTTCAAAGTCCGCAACAGCTTCTTGACAAGGATGGAGGACAGCTCCTTTTCAACATTGTGCTCTCGCCGTGGCGCCGCGCATATCCGTTTTAAAAGCTTGTAGCAGTGACATTGACGGAGGGGGGTTCCATTTCGAAATGGGGCGCTCCAGTTAGGGCCGCGCACATTCGCCTTCAAAGCTTGCAGCAATTACAATGACGGAGGGCGCCGCGCACATTCGCCTTCAAAGCTTGCAGCAGTTACAGTGACGGAGGGCGACTCCTCTTCAAAATGGGGTTCCCGCCTCGTCGGCGCGCACTTCTTGAACGCTTGCAACACTAGAGGGATACAGGGCCGCCTCCTTCTCAAAATGTATTCCCGCTTGAGGGTATCCTACGACAAGCGACCAGAAGGCTGGACAGGTGAAACAACTGCACAGGGCGGAGGGCGGCTCCGTTGCAAGCTGTGGGTCCTGCCGTAGACCTCATCAAAATCCAAACCAGAAGCGCAAACGTGTGCAGTCATTGCACGGATGGAGCGGCCCCTTCTGCATCAAAACACTGAGGCCCTCGCTGGACGCATTACCAACACGTGCGAAGCAAGCTTCTCGTGTTCAGTCTACCCCGCCAGAAGGATGCAGGGCGGAGGGCGGCTCCGTCTCGAGCAGATCCAAACCAGAAGCGCAAACTTGTGCAGTCCTTGCACGGGTGGAGCGGCCCCTTCTGCATCAAAACACTGAGACCCTCGCTGGACGCATTGCCAGCATGTGCGAGGAAAGCTTCTCGTGCTCGCTCTCGCCCGCCAGAAGGACGCAGAGCAGCCCCTTTTCTGCATCAAAAAACTGAGGCCCTCGCTGGACGCACTGCCAACATGTGCGAGGAAAGCTTCTCGTGCTCGCTCCAGCCCGCCAGAAGGATGCAGAGCAGCTCCTGCTCAAAAGCGAAACCCACGCCCGACTGGCAGGCCCACGGGGCGCTCGTCTCTCGTGGCTGCGCTCCTCGTGGCGAGAAGAAGAAGGGTGTGCAAGGACGCAAGGACGCGTGGGGAGGGGACGAGGAGGGGGAGGAGGAGGAGGAGGAGGAGGAGGAGGAGGAGGAGGAGGAGGAGGAGGAGGAGGAGGAGGAGGAGGAAGAGGAGGAGGAGGAAGGAGGAGAGGAGAGGAGGAGGAGGAGGGAAGAGGAAGAGGAGGAGGAGGAGAAGAAGAGGAGGAGGAAGAGGAGGAGGAGAGAAAAGAGGGGGGGGACGATGACGAGGGTACTTGGCACGGGTCTGGTGTACTGCAGCCCTTTTGACGCCTGCTGAGCTTACTCTCGTCCTCCTCCTCTCCTCATCCCCCCCTGTCCTCCTCCTTCTCCCCCCCCCCTTTTCCTTGCGTTTCATCCCCCCTTACTCCTCCACCCCCTCACCCTGCGCCTCAGGTTCCTCCTTTCCTCCTCCTCCTCCCTCCTCCTCCTCTCCTCCTCCTCCTCCTCCTCTCCTCCTCCTCCTCCATCTCCTCCATCTCCTTTCCCTCCTCCTCCCCCTCCTCCTCCATCTCCTTTTCCTCCTCTTCCCTCCTCCCCCTCGTCCTCCCGCTCTTCCCCTCTTCCGCCGCCGCCGCCACTGCCGCCGAGGACGACGACGACGCCGACGGCGGCGCCGACGACGGCGGCGGAAGCCACGGCGGCGGCCACGGCGGCGGCGGGGCCGCGGCCCTCCGGCAAGCTCTGAAAGTCCAGCAGCAGCGCCCGCGCGTCGTCGAGGACCTCGCCCCCGAGGGTCAGCACCTGGCACAGCGGGGGCACCTCGGGGGGGGGGGGGGAAGGCAGGGAGTGAGGGGAGGGGGAGCAGGAGGAGGGAACATAGGAGCGGATGGGAAGGAGGGGAAGGGAGGAGAGTGGAGGGGAAATAAGAAGAATGGAAGGGAAAGGGGGGGGACGGAGGGAGGGGAGTGAGGGAATGGGAGGGGAGGAGAAAGGAGGGGAACTAGAACGAGGTGGACGAGGAGGAGGAGGAGGAGGAGCCCGATAGGCGGAAGCTAGGGGGCCAGGAGGACGAGGACAAGGCAAGCGAGCTGGAGGAGGAGGAAAGAGGAGGAGGGAGGAGGAGGAATACCAGCAGGAGGAGGGGGAGGACGAGGAGAACGGGGAGGACAAGGACGAAAACGAGGACGTAGACCTCCCATGTTCGTTTCCTCTCTGCTCCGCCCTCCTCCTCCTCCTCCTCCTCGTCCGTTTCCTCCTCCTCCTCCTCCTCCTCCTCCTCCTCCTCCTCCTCCTCCTCCTCCTCCATATCCTCTTCCTCCTCCTGCTCTTCCTCCTGTTGCTGCACCATCCGCGCAATCCTTCGAGATCCATTTCCACGCCGATAACCCCATGTCGCACCCCTCAAACGTATCGGTAAGGCGGTATGGGCGATCATGAGGTTCGAACCCGTCCACGGTTTTCAAGGACGGAGTGCCAAACGTTTCCAATGTATGGTTCTCGCCTTCACACAATGTACATTCGTCATAAAACTGTGCAATAGTTTCACGGGCGAAGTGCCGGCGGTTTAAACATGTGGTTTTCGCCTGAAAGACTTGCACCTTCGTCTGGGAAGTTCGACACAGCTGCACGGATGGAACAAGAACAAGAACCACTTTCAAATATAAAAGGCGTTATCGCCATAGCGCTGCGAACATGTAGCGTACAGTTGCACAGCAATTCAAAGGTTGAAGGCAACACCATTTAAAAATACCGTTCTCGCCTCGGCACCACGTACATTGTCTTAACATGCTCCTACGATGTGTTCAAAGATGGAGACGTTTCAGCTCCCTGGTCTCTCGCATTATCGCCGCGCACATGCATTACAATGTGATGCAGCGTCATCAACAATGAGTCAAAGCGGCGCTGCCCAAAGAGATGAGCGCGTGCGTTTGTCAACGCAACGTCTGGCAGGATGGAGGACGGCACTGTTCCCGAATGGCCAAGTCCAAGGACCCATAACTTCATTACACGATGCGTTGTAAGGATTCAGGGCGGCTCTGTTTCAAAATGCAGCCGTCGCTTCAGACTTTCTCGACATGCAGGATCACGTTTGCAAGTGTGCGCAACAGTTGCTGCATCAATATTGGACGGATGCGTTTCTCATGCTTCGACCACAGGGACCCATGACACTCGCCCTCGTCACGTCCTGCATGGGGGGCCCTGCGAGCCCAGCGAATACACCACGCAACGCGCCCCGATTGGAAACTCGGCGAGGGGCCCGGGTCGGGATTTCAACCAGCCCCCCCAAAAAAACATCACACTCTGTCTACGATGGGCCCCATCCCATGCTAAATACGCGAGGCTTCTGAGGTCGCCAAGGTCTCAAGCTGGCCCGCTCCGCCAGCTCGCCAACAGGGGCAGAAAAGAAACGCTGCCCCCAGGGCGCGGCGGAGGCGAGCGAAGCCCAAGCAGAAATCCCGCGCGCTCACCTCCAGCGGCGGCCCGCAGCCGCCCGAGGCCCCATCGTCGAGTTTCGGCGCAGAAAATCCACCGGCCCACTGCGCGCGCGCCGCGAGGGGGGCCCCGCGCGAGCACCCAAGCAAGGGCTCGACACGCGGAAGACGATCACCATCCAGCGCACGATGTCTGAGGCCGCGTGACAACGCTGCGCCTGGAACCGCCCTGGCTCGCCGCGGCCGGCACGGCTCGGGCCTCGTCGGCGGCCTCCGCGGGCGGCGCATCGGGCTCGCGAGCCACGAGGCCCCACCCTGGATCGCGAAGTCCCGCTGGGCCGCCCAACGGCCACGATGGCCGCCAAGACGATTAGCACCACGTCGTACCTCGCCCACTTGCAGTTGACATCGCCAACCCTCTCGGCGGAGGAGCACACCTCCGCGTCGCAGTCGACCGCGGCAGTCGGCCCCTCGCGACCCCGCAAGCCAGAGCGCCGCCGCCGCCGCCGCGATGATGGCCAGAGCCGCCGAGCGACTGTCCCTGGGGAGGCTCGACCCCGAGCCGCCGCCCCCACACCAAAGTCCCGCTGCCCCGACTGCCGATCAACACTCGCATCCTGGCCAGCGTCCGCGCAGATGCCGCAGAGTGCCCCGAGCTCGTCGAAACCCCGGCCCAAGAATACTCGCGCCCAGGCCCGCCTCGTCATCGCGCGCGCCGACCGCCCCGAAGCCCGTCTGCACGCGCTGGATTGCCTGGCGCACCCCCAAGCCCCTGACTTTCCCCCGCGCCCTCTCGGCGCGCAACCCCTCGGGCCGCCGACGAATCCGCGAGCGGGGCGGCCGCCACGGAGCACCCGACAAACTCCAGCAACGACTTGAAGTCAAGAACATCGTCGGCGACCGCCGTCGCCGCGCAGCACTCCGCAACATCCGAGCTGGCAGCTGCGATGGCCTGGCGCCCGCTGAACGACTGCATCGGAACTCCGTCGATCTCGATCTCGCAACTCGACTGCGGCCTCCTCGCGCGCAGGTCACCCGCCCAGTCGCTGTCGGCAAATCCCACCAGCCACACGGCGGTGCCCTCCGTCGGCTTCGGGGGCCAGTTCACAGCGCTCCTGGCGCCCAGGAAATACCCGGCCAGCCTCGCCAGAACGGCGGGGGCGCCGACGGCGGGGCCTGACAGCGCCCCGCCGAGGAGACTGACCTCGCACTGGCAGTCGGCCCTGCCCCGCGCAGCACGGCAGCGCCCCCGCGCTCGAGCGTTCGACGCCCGTCTGCCGCTGCGGTGCCCATGAGCGCCCAGTGACCCGGCACCCCCAGCGCAGGCGCTGCGTTCGCTCCGTCGAGCCCCAAGGCCTCCACCACGTAGTCCAAGTATATCGGGTGAGTTTGAGGCTCGGTCTCGCGCTCGAACCTCGCCATCGGACGCCGAGCCCGCGGATCGCGTCGCCGCTAAAACGACACGCAATTAGAGCTCGTCGCGGACGCCACCAGCCACGCGGAAATCGCCCACGCGCAACTCGACTACCACCTCGCTCTCGGGATTGCCGGAAAACTACGGGTCAACCTCGCGCCTCGCCATCTGCATCTCGTCCGCGAGGATGCCCGCCGCGCGCTCGACCCAGCCCGACGCCGCGCGCCTGCTGGGCAGCTGTTTCTTCAGCTTCCAATGCCTGCCCGCGCCCTCGCCGTCCGCCCCGAGCATGACGAGGCGCCCCTGCGGCGGGCCCACCACCGCGCCATCGCACTCGCAGGCGCCCGATAGAAAGCGTCGTTCCCGCCCGGCGCCATCGCCCCGAAGCCGCGCGCAAGCACCGCGCAGTGGATGGGCCCATTCGAGATCGGCGCCGACACTGGCGCGAACAGTTCGTCGCGCGTCTCCTGCCAGCGAAACTCGCGGCCGACGAACCGAACCCTGCGCCGCCACTCCTGTGCTGCAAGCTGCCACCCCCACTGATTCCCCCAGCGCGTGGCGGCGCGCTTCCTGCCCGCTGCCAGGGAATGCCCACCCGGACGCCGCGGTCCAGGAGTCTCTGCAGGCACCCCAACGGTCGGCCTTCGACTTCGCCCGAGACCCCCCCCCCCCCCCCCATTTAACGCAATTCAATGTTTAACGCTGTGTGAATATATAGCTATAAATATACATATAGATATACATAGATTTATATGCACGGGCACGCGCGCCCTCCGCCACGTCCGCCGGCGGCGAAGCCCCCCGCTTCGCCGCTGCCGATGGCGCCCCCATCGCCAGATCACTTGGCGCTGGCTGCACCGGCAGGGCTGGCCGCGGCGGAGGCGCCGCCGCCGCCGCCCGCGGGGCCCGTGGAAGGGTCGGCGGCGGCGCCCGGGGCTGAGCTCCGCCCCGGAGGCGCCGCGGCGCCCGCTGCAGCTGCTGCTGCCGATCTGCCCGCGGGAGCTCCGCCGCCCCCCGCCGCGGCGGCCACCCTCGCCCCGCGCCTTCCGGAGCCGCCCTCGTAGCCCAGGGGAAGCCCGTCGCCGGCAGCAGAAGCTCCTTGCCCATCTGGCGCCCCCCAGGTAGCAGTCGAACGATCCGCGCCTGCTCGACCCCGCGGCCAGCCATCACCAGGTGCCCCCGCGACTCGCCCGATCTGCAGACACAGACCCCACGGCCCCCACTGCGCCCCTCTACGGCAAGCCGTCGCTAGGGGGCCACGTGCGAGCCACGCCCCTACCCCCGACGAATTCTGACGGGGAGCGCGGCGTTCACTTCGTTCGGGAGCTCCCGAGCGAAGCGAACCCCACCCCCACCCCTTAGAAATCGCGGGGGGCAGGGGCGGGGTTCGCACATGGCCCCCCAGCCGCCCCCCCGCGATCGGATGCACTGCTCGCGCCAGGGCGCGGTTGGGAGGCGCGCGAAGCAATGCTGTCTCTGCCCCCGGGACCGCGGGCGACGGCAGCTGCCTCGGCTCGACGGGGTCGCGCTTGATCTCCAGCTCCTCCAGGGCCGCCATCTCGCGCGCGGTCCCTGCCTCTGCGCGTCGGAGAGCCGCTTCTGCCGCGGCGGGCTGCCCCCGCCGCTCCGCCTCAAATTAGCGCGAACAGCTCCGGGAGCCGCATCCTGGGCGCTCCGACCGAGCTCTCAGCTGCGAGGAACGGCTCCGCCCCCGCCCGGCCCGACGCACCTCTGCAAGCCCCCGTCAGCGCAGGGGGTGCCGACGCGATCGGGGGCCCGAGGCTGTTCCGCTCGTGCTCCAACTGCACGCCGCGGCGGCACTTCGCCACGCAGAGCCCACCCCCCAGGCTCAGGTGGAGACGGGAGCCCCGCCTGAGCAACTTGCCCATGCTCAGCAGGTCGTCGCTGACACTGGCAACAAGAAGGTCCGCCGCGGCCTGAACTCCCTCGCGCATCGTCATCTGCACGCCTCG